TTTAGGACCAAAATACATCAATGACCTCCTGACCCAGTATGAACCATCCAGATCCCTCAGGTCATCTGGATCCGGTCTTTTATCAGTTCCCAGAGTCAGAACCAGACACGGAGAAGCTGCATTCAGCTTTTATGCTCCTTATATCTGGAACAAACTCCCAGAAAGCCTCAGATCAGCTGAAACACTCAGTTTATTTAAATCCAGGTTGAAGACTCACCTGTTCTCAGCTGCATTTGAATAAAGCACCAAATCCACACTTTAAGCTTAAATTTCAAAACTTACATTTAACTACTGATTTTATCTACTGTTCTGATTTTATCTGTTTTGATTTTATAAGATAAGATAAGATAAGATAACCTTTATTAGTCCCACACGTGGGAAATTTGTTTTGTCACAGCAGGAAGTGGACAGTGCAAAAGTTATGATGCAAAAATTAGAATACAATAAGAATAAATACAGTACACAGCTGTACAGAATAGAATAAAATAATATACTATATACAGTAGAATAAAATAGAATAAAAATATACAATAAGATAAAAATAGAATACGAATACTATATACAACTGAGTAAAAATACAATGATGCCAGAAAGGATTATTGCACTTAGTGTTATTGCACATGTATGGATGTGTGTGCTTGATCAGTTAAAGTCTTTATTATGGAGTCTGACAGCAGTGGGGAGGAAAGACCTGCGAAATCTCTCCGTCCCACACCGTGGGTGCCGCAGTCTCCCACTGAAGGAGCTGCTCAGTGCTGTCACAGTCTGCTGCATGGGGTGGGAGACGTTGTCCATCAGGGATGACAGCTTAGCCGCCATTCTCCTGTCACTCACCACCTCCACTGGGTCCAGTGGAGGTGGTACTGTTGTTTGTTTGTTTGTTTGTTTGTTAATTAGTTAGTTAGTTTATTTGCTTGTTTTAATCAATTTTAAATCATGCTTTTTATTTGTTCTTGTTTCTAATGTCTCTGTAAAGCACTTTGAATCACCTTGTTGTTGAATTGTGCTATACAAATAAACTTGCCTTGCCTTGCCTTGCCTTATGTTAAGGCCTGATCCTTCTGAAATTCATAGCCAGTGCTCTGACACGGTTTCATCAATCTTTGAATGCTGAAAAAGAACAGTGTATCCAGAAAAACACATTATATTATATAAATTATTATAAAATTTGTGTGCGCCTAACTTTTGTGCCGGTACGTTCAACTTTTTAAAGTTAGGCGTACCGGTACGCCCATGGCAAAAAGTTAGTCTAGAGCCCTGACTAGGCTAAATTATATCACCAAGACACTGCTTCAGGACCTCTCAGCAGCAATTTACACACTTAGACATTTACTGTACAAACATTAACACACAGGCATCACAGTAGTGATTGCAGTTGCACCTTTCTGTGTGGAGGTTGTATGTTGTCCTTGTGGGTTCTCTCTAGGTACTCTAGCTTCCTTCCTGTTAGGAAAGGCCTAATTTACTTAAAAATCTGTAGGATAAATTTTAGAAAGCTGAACAAGTTTTAGCATGATCGTGTTTAACCTTTAAAGTAGGCTCCAAAGTGAGATCAAGATATTTATACTTCACTCTAATTTTGTTTTTTTGTTTTTGTTGTTTTTTTGTGTGTCCCGTTTGGATCTATAGCATCAGAATTGTTGTCTTAAGGCCAAGAAAGATGCCAAGCGGATTTATTTTACCAAGTGGATCATCATGGCCTTGCCATATTGGTCCATTTGATTGACCTTTATTATAATTATGAATTTATTTTATTTTCGGTTGCTACAAACGGGACAGACATGATTGTGGGATAGGACAGGGAGAAAGAATGAAAGAAAGAGAGGGAGAGAAAGAAAACCAAAGGGGAGAAGAGACGGTGAGAAGGGGGAGAAAAAAGAAAGAAAAACAAACAAAACACCTGGGTCACCTGTATGGAGAAAAAAACAGAAGAGAAAGCAAACAACAAAGAGCAACATAATAAAAACAAAACCATCACAATAAACTAGCTAGCAGTAGATATCAGTAAATACTAAATATTAAACGATATTGTGCAGCACGCAAGATAGACAGCGCACAATGTGCTTTGAGGCAGCAGCCAAGAAAGCTGTAGTCCGCGTCTGTGAACACCCGTGTGTACACCTGTGTGCATACCTGTGTGGATCAGCATGCTTGCATTCCAAAGGTTTCTCCATGTAACGATCTGCTAGGGAGTTTGGGGAGCCACAGCCCCGTCCACCAGGGTATGAAGCAGGTATGGAGGTGATCCAGGCCCCAGATATCCAGAGGCCCCAGAGTACAAGGACCCGAGGAGCACCACCAAAGGGGGGGAACCGTGCCACCCTCCTGGGAAGAGCTGAGTAGAGCCCCAAAGGAGAGGTCACCCAGCAGCTGCGGAGTAGAGACCAGAGGGGGTTGCAGTGGCGTGCCCGCGGGCTCTGCCGGCAGCCAGCTGTGCCAGAGAGGACCGAGATTCAGGCCCTGAGACCAGAGGCCTGAGGGCATCCCACCCCCCGGAAGGAGCCCAGCCGGGCCACAGGCGCCCGGCCCCACCAATCGGCCACCAGGAGTGAGCCGGTACATACATGAGCGCCCAGCCCCAGACGACAAGGACCACCAACACACCACCAGGGAGGCCCCGCATCCCAGACCCCAGTCTGACGGCCAGCACCTCCTCCCAGCCCCCCAGCCCTGACGGCTAACAGAACCGGGGTGAGTAACTTCACTCTAATTTTGAAATTATGAGCAGAATCTTACTATAACCTGTGTAGACCTGTACATTTGCCTTTATGTCGACTGTAGTGTTGGAAACACGTTGGAAAAAGACACAATAAACATAAGATAAAGATACCAGTGGAGGTCCTGCCCCTGGGGAAAAGCCCATTGTTTTAGTTTTCTTGCTTATGTCGATCAAGGACAAAGCTTCAGCTGTTCCAGAACTGTCAGCCACAAATGAAGGGTGAATCATCAGCACACTGACAGCTACTATCCAGCTCCTCTTTCTGCTCTGGCTGCATGTCCTCATAATGTACTTGAACTGTGACACACCTCTAGCTGCTATGTATAGAGTCTGTTGTCAGAGCTCTGCAAACAAATAGTTTATACAGTGTCAGATACCCTTGGTCTGGATCAGAGGGATTCGCTCAAGCTTGTGGTACGACGCAGTCTACGTGCTGTAGTTTGGCGTGATTCAAACTTTTCTCGTCGTTTCCAGTTCCACCGGAGATGAAATGAAGATTTATGGAACAGATGTCATGGAGTCCAGCAGCTGCCCACACTTGAGCCAACAGTCAGGACAATATAAGGGAGCAGACAGCCTGCGAGTCAGCATTAAAGACTGTGTTTTCACTGTGGATAAACCCACTGTAGTCAAAAACTGTGAGTACTTCAGAGCATTGTTCCAGTCAGGAATGAGAGAGTCTAAACAGGAGGAGGTCCAGCTGAAATGTGTGGGGAATCTGGGATTTCAAGTTCTGCTGCAGGTGCTGGATGGGAAGCGACCCATCCTCAACAGTGACGAGATCGTCGAAGCAATAGAGTGTACGGCTTTTCTCCAGGTGCCAGCTCTCACCAAGCATTTGATCAATATTATAAATTCCCAAAACTGCTTGCTCATGTTTCATACAGCTGCAACCTACGGAGAGTGGGAGTTGTTCCACAGAGCAGCTTTATTCATCAGAGACATCTACGCTGACCTAGGGGAGGAGGTTCGTAGCTTACCCAGTAAGCTGCTGGAGTACATTGAGTCTCTTCTCCCAAGTAGCTACATGGCAGTGTGCAGTCACTCTCCATCCACTGAGCAGCTCCAGGATGCCCAGAGGACAGTGTGTCATCTGGATGAAGAGCAAAAAGAGTGGCGAATCCTCACACATCTTCCTATGAGCACCAGCACCATCATGGCAGGCGTGGCAGTCCTCGACAACAAACTGTACATAATCGGAGGATTGTATGATTTAAGCAAGAAGGTGGTGGAGACTGGATTCTGCTACGATCCCGTGGCCAATTCATGGTCAGTGATTTGTGGACCTCAGCAGCTACGCTACAACTTCTCTCTGATAGGTCATGAGGGATGTCTCTATGCTATAGGAGGGGAGTATAACAAGAAGGCTCTGTCATCAGTGGAGAGATATGGGCTGTCTGATCAGAACTGGAGTTTTGTTTCCTCCCTCCCGTGCCCTGCAGCCTCAGTGGTGTCCACTGTAGCCATGAAGAGGATCTATATCTGTCTTTGGAAAGGGAAAGGGGCCACAGACATCCATGAGTACGTACCTGAACACAATCGGTGGAATCTGGTCACTACACTCATCCGCCAGCACAGTTATGGTCTTCATATGGTGGCCCACAGGGATAACCTCTATGTGATGCGGAATGGACCATGTGAAGACTTCTTACAATGTGTGATGGACTGTTACAACCTGACTTCAGATCAGTGGACAGTGATGTCCGGTCAGTACGGGAACAGCAAGAGCTCTCTGTTCACGGCAGCGGTCAGAGGAGATTCTGTGTTCACGCTCAGCAGACACGTGACCACAGAGTACACCATAGAGGAGAACAAATGGAGGCTCCGGCGTGAGATGAAAGGTTTTGGCAGGATTGGATCCATATATACATTTTTGATGAGGCTTCCTAAACCCACTCCCTCCCTTTTAGGAAATTGCCCAAGCCAGAACCTGAGAGACACTGATGTCTGTCACAGATGTCCCCTGGGATGCTCTCAGCACATTTAAAAGCTGGTGATCATCATTCTGATTTCTATTCTAATAATATGTGGCAAAGGATTACAGCCCACACTGCAGCTGTTTCAATCGCACCTCTAAAGAATTGGTTTAGTCTGCCCAAACTATTATTTCAGACTGTTTACTGTTCAGACTGTCTACGGAGGAATCAAAGCAGGATTGATGGATGAAGCTGCAAAGCTAGCACTAATGTAGCTTTTTATCGCGTTTGTTTGTGGGACCCACCCTGTAATATACACTTTTTATTGCACAGTCCTTGAAGAAAACAGATGGTCATGGTGTAAATTAATTTCACACTTTTAATAAGTTTGTTCACAATTACTACAAATATTTACGTCACTTCAAAATTTAGACACAGCAGGACTTTAATCAGAGTATTTTTGTTCCAAAACGAATCTAAAAAAGTGGTAAAGAAGATATGGGTTAATTCAGAAATATGAATAGATCATCTAACAATGCAGTGTCAGCATCAACTATATGTGTGCAGTTGTTTCATACCAGCACAAGGTCAGATATGACTGCAATTTTTAGAATACAGATGATTGTCTGCAAGATATCAATGTGAAAAGTGTGTGTGTTTTATCAGGACACACGCATCATCAGCTCCTCCAGGGCCCGATCTCGGTGGTTTTCATGAACCAGCAGCACTTCTTTGATGGCATTCTTCTGAAAGCCCATCTCATTGAACTGATTCAGCAGGTGTAGGAACTCCTTTGCCTCGAGAAAGAAAACATTTACTTTCTTTAAAGTTTCTAATCGAACTGACTTCATCAGACAAAAAGTGCCAAGCTTTGTTGTCTCCGATAACTTTAAAAACTTACCTTTGTTTCACAGTTTTGAAACATCTCCAAGGCCTCTTCCACCTGGGACATGTCATAACCCAGCTGACACAAGTGGTCACACGCCACCAGATAACTCAAGATCTGCCAAATATTCATTCATACAAGAGAAGAGCTGTCACATGGAAAAAGTTATTGACTGTTTCCAATCAGATTCAATTAATACAATAACCTCAGTTTTATCTGCATTTAGAAACAAGAAATTTTGGGTAGTCCATATGTTTACATCTTTAAGACATTCCTGCAGTTTAACTAATTGTTGCGCATTATCTGGGTTTACGGATAGATAAAGTTGGGTATCTGGGTGAACTAGTCCTAGCACAGAACCCGGTGGAACTCCATTATTAACCAAAATAACGGCCAAATAATTTTTTGTTAGTCAGTTGATTGATTCATTGGGTAAGGTTTATGTAATAAATTAAAAAGTAGTATGAATATGTGTAGTTTAATTTGTAAAATGTAATTTTATATTTTCCATTTGTTTACAGATGGGTGATAAATAAAAGCAAAAACACAACCCTGGTGCATGAGTGCGACAGCTGAGGATTATATTAGGGCCAGTTGTTGTTTTCAATATTCAGTGAAGTTGAGAGTAAGTTTAAAGTGATTTGGGGAAAAAAAATTAACTTTCCTGTAGAACTTTCTCAACAACTTACTTTCCAAACCAACCATTTCGTTAAAACGTATGTGTCATCTTTTCTGTTACAGGCCTTTGAAACTGTGGATGTTCCTCTACAACGTATATAAACTTTAGTAATGCTCTGACTAACACTAATCCACCATCCACACATTACTGCAACCTGTTTCTGCTCTAACATACACAAAGCACAGTGTCCAGACCAAACAGGAACACAATAATATGCTCTGTAAGGCAGTCATTTCTTATTACTGTGATTAAGAAGATAACAATTTAATTCAATTTCATTTATAGTGCAAAATCAGAACAACAGCCACCCTGAGGTGCTTTATATTGTTATGTAAAGACTAGAGATGGACCGATCCGATATTACGTATCGGTATCGGTCCGATACTGACGTAAATTACTAGATCGGATATCGGAGAGAAATAAAAAATGTAATAGAGCAGCACGACAGCAGCACGTTTAAGCTTGATAAGCTGCTGTTAGAATTTATTTAATATTACTTTCTACACCAGGATCTTTTTCTACGCAGCTGACGGCTGGTAACTGTGCAGGGGCGGATCTAGCAAAGTTTAGCCAGGGGGGCCGATAGGGCATGAACAGGGAAAAGGGGGCACAAAGACATACTTTTCTTTCTTATTCTCATTTAAAATGTCGAGCTTTTAATAAATAATTATCTGAATCTTACACCCAAAGATGTTGAATCTATTTAATATTTCTTGGAAAATAATTTATTTCTGTGCATTTTTTTCACACTGCATCAAATTAAAGTTGATTACGTTGATTAAGCATCATGAGGTGGAGGGTGGTTCCCTATTTTTTTTTTTTTTTTTTTTTTTTTTTTTTTGCTGGGAGTTTGCAACCCTATTAGTTAGGTTGCTTACTCTTTAAAATACCAGAATAGGGAGGATGCTGCAGGTTTAAGTTTATTAGATTGATCCATTTTGCTGAACTATGAAATATTTTGGGTGCAGTGTATTTTTTGCATACAGGTATAACAGAGTATGAACTTATACAAAAAGCAGCAAGATATTAAAATTGATTGATTAAAATATTTAAAAAATAAAATATTGATTAAAAAACACACTATATGGATTCATATCAGTATCGGCAGATATCCAAATTTATGATATCGGTATCGGACATAAAAAAAATGGTATCGCATCATCTCTAGTAAAGACCAATCATTAATACAGAGAAAACAGAAAAAAACAACAACAATCATGTGACCCTCTATGAGCAAGAAATTTGGTGAAAGTGGGAAATATAAACTCCCTTTTAACAGGAAGAGCCTCCAGCAGAACCAGGCTGGGGAAGGCAACCATCTGCCACGACAAGTTAGGGGTGAGCAGACGAAGCCAATGATAGAGAACCTCATACTGACTGAGGCACAGAGTTCAGATCAGAGTGTGAGCTCTGTGAAATCATGAAATACACTAGTCTTTAATCTTCCAGTATCAGAACTAACAAATGTTGCTGAAGGACTAAGTTTGTTTCTTTAAAGCTATTTAATCCATGCACAGTTAAGGCTGATCCTGGTTTCTCACCTATCCTTTCTTGTCCTTTCAGATTTATTCTGTTTGGTTCATGGACCCATAATGCTGTAGGTCCAAGTGTGACCACTATTTTCACACTGACTTATAGTAGCTGTATTTGTACTGCATCAGTGTTTATAGAACAGACTGCATGATCCCGACAGCTGGAGCCAAAAGTTGACCAAGTGTTTTCGAGCAGCACTGCCTTGTTGTTGGATATAACACTGACCTCATCTGGGGTCTGCTGTCCTGTCCTCTGAAGGGCAGTGATGGCAGTATGAAGAGAGTAGCCCCTTGCAGTGATGGCCTCCAGCAACTCTCTCTCCGCTGGGTTTAGAGCTGACAGGAGTTCTGCTGTAGAGTCCAAAGCAGAGGAGGACAAACCCCTGGGGCCTGACATGACAGGGGGGTTTCTACAGGTGTCTGGTCTGAATATCTAAGAAATGGCAGACTGCAGTGAATGTAGCGAGTGGCTGAGAAAGAACAGGGCATGGTAGACCTGACATGCAGCTTTAGTGAGAATTCACACTAGCTAATCCTCGTGAAGCTCTTGCACCTTGGCTGCATTCAGAGAGCATACTTTACGCAGATTATTTTTAGAGTGTAAATCCATGAAAAACATTTTGAAAATGCAAAATGGAGAAAAGCTGGATAGGAAGACCTTATTTCCTTTCATAGTTAATAGTGCTGACATTAAAAGAAATGTAATCCCATGAGAATATCTGACACATCTCAATAGTCACAACCCTGACTATAAACAGAGTGAACCTGTTATCATGCTGAGCCTGTCTGGTTCTAGTTATACTCGAGATTGACCGTGCAGCTCAGGTGATGGTACTGCCATGAGCTTCAAGCTATATTTAGACAGGAAATAGAACTATCAATAGTCTAGACTACTGAGACTTCGCCACACTGCCGACTCACATGGCCTCGTGAATGAACAGCCACATACTGAAATTATGACAATAAACACAAAGTAAAGCTGGAAGACGGCTGTATGAATTTAGTGTTTTTTCCCTGGACAGTGATGCTGTATCACAGTCATCAGCTGTATTGTACTGTGTATTACATTCTGCAGTAAAAGTTTCAAAAGCACACGCACACATAAACACACAGCTCACGTGTTCCTCTTACCATGCTGGCTGTGCTGGTTCTGCTGGGAGGGATCCTCGTGTCCGAGGCTGTGTGTGATGAAGTGCTCTGGGGATAAGTCTCTGTGTTGGGATCTTGTTGTGTGGGCGTGTCGAGCACTGACAGTGAACACTGGCGCAGGTTCTTTCTGCGCTGGTGGGGCAGGCTGCTCAGACAGGCCGGGGGGTTCAGCAGGTCAGGGACAAAGGCCTTCTGTGCTTTCCTCTGACCACGCTGACAGTTTGCAGAAGGACGCTGTTCCCCCGGACTCACTGTCACTATGGAACTCGTCCTGGCTTTCTGTGTAGTGCCCTCTTCGTCATCTGAAGGTGAGATGGTAGCCTTGGTACGCAGGATGGAGGAGTTGAGGCTGTGGGACCGCTGTCGAGGGCTGCTAAACAGCATCCAGTATGGTGGACAAGATGACAGCAGGCTTGATGAAGAGGAAGAGGGGTTAAGCTGGTGCTGGGTGGCAAAGCCACTTTGCAGCCCAGTTAGCACCCAGTTCTCCAGACTGAATCCATACTGTCAAACATGCAAACATCGTGTAAGTCCTTCTGTAGGTCTGAAGCTACATTTTTAAATTCAACTCAATGATGACAGGCTTTTCATTATTTTATTGTTTAGTCTTTTGGCTTGCTAACATTAGCCAGTTGAGTGTAAACAACACTTGACTGGCTAATGTAAGGCTTGTGAAACTTATGGTAGCATCTAGCATCTCACATTATTACCAATGACTACTCTAAAAACCATTTACAATACAGAAATGTCTAACATCTGGAAAGTATGTTGATTTGTACTCAGTAATGAGGATGAAAAATACTTTGATAGGGATGCTCTCCCATTAATTATTGCATTAATGTGGCATGGAGACAATCCCCTCGTAGCCCTTTGGAGGTGATTTGAAGCCCAGGTAGCTTTGATGACAGTTTTTATTTTGGGGTCAGATGTTTCTTATCTTCCATCCTGGCCTTTAACTCTGTGGGTGACTGACTTCTTTTTTTTTTGCAATGTCTGGTTTTTGCTATTTTACTATTATATTTAAATTTGTATTGTACAGCACTTTAAAAACACACCTGGTAGACCAAAGTGGTATACAAATAAATGAAAAAAATAAATAAATAAAAATAACAGACAGACTATGTTCTGTATTGTCACGACCACCTTTTCTATCCCATTCCCATTTAATCTACTTTCTATTAAAGTGATTAGATGTAGCACTCAGCAAGCATCCAGCCTTCTCTGTGATCTTCTGTGGCTTACCCTCCTGTGCAGGGTTCTGACGTCATGTCAATATGGACCAAAATCTACGAAATGTTTCCAGCACCTGGTTGAATCTAAGACAGATCCATACCAGTGCTACCTGTTAAAGCGTACATCCTTTAGTGGTATGTGCAAGGCCCTCTACCTGCGAGTTTGAGGGTTCTGTGCAGTATCTCAGCTGATCCTAGGACTGCACTCTTCTGCACAGAGACCTGTGATGTTGTGTATGGAATCTGATCAGCTGTAACATTCTTGTCCGAGATCGACCTTCATCTTTCATATACTCATGAAGCTGTAAAGAGCAATGTTGTCTTTTATTTGGCAGTGCTAGTAAGTGTGTACTAATCACATACATACAAAAAACATAAAAAGTCAGATATTGAGCCATGGTTCTTCCTGTAACTTATCACCTGTCAGTGTGATAGGGTTTGTTTGTTTTGGTGTTTTTTAAAGGAGTGAAATAATGGTGACAGCTCAAAGCAGTGCAGCAAAGAAGGTACACTGCACAACAGACAGAACAGCAAGGAGGAGGAACAAACAGGGAAACACAAGAGAGAGAAACACACTCACCTCTGTCTCCTGCAGGATGTTGAAGTAGTCAGGGACAGTCGTACTGACAGAATATTTTAGTTCCTGAAAGGAAGCACTCTGAGGCACCCTCAGAGGTACACCATCCATACTGCTCAGTCCACTGAGAAAACAAAGATAAGTCAGCCATAGAACAACTCACACAATCCCTCCAGTTGTGGATCTGTAATGTGGACCGCCGTGCTCCCTGAAAGGAAACACAACAATCTGTATTTCCACAAGCTCAGAGAGCTGCAGCGTTCAGGCAGTGGCCCTGTTCTAACCCCTCCGTTCTAACTGCAGAAGTGTGCACTCCACTTCTGCTGGCCTTTCAATATTTTCTGCTTTTATATTAGAGTCCCTGATGATTCCTCCCACGAGAAGCCTGAAGATTTCCATTAGGCCAAATAGAACACCGTCTCTTTTTTCTCTCTGTAATCTGTCAAACATTATTGTTATCGCTAATATATTCAATAAGGTTATAAAAACAATTAACATTATGTGATAACAGGGTTATTATAATTTCTTTTAATGCTTTTTGTATTTACTTTTTCCAGCATGTGAAGAAAGGTAAGAGCATCACTGCTTTGAGTGTTACTTTGGATCAACAACTGTCGAATGTTTAGATTCTACAGTAATAAGTCTGTGCTACAAAGTCCAAGTCCAGTCTTGTCCTCCTCAGAGGGGATTCCACTCAACTTCAGCAGGCGATTTTCATCTTCATAAAGGTGATGCACATCAGACGTCGAAGCGGTTCAGTCAGTACAGGTTGTCCTCATCAGCACAATCAATCCATAAATCTTCCTTCAACTACTCTTTTTGTCAAACAGTACAATTTTTGTTGTAAGGTACGGTTGTGTTCTCCATGCTCAGTCAGGCTTGAATAAAGATGTCAGACTGCCAACAACGCTCAATCCATTTCTCAGTCATCAGCACACAGGTACCACGACACCATCATTACTCTGCATCGGTAGGAATGATGCAGCCTCTGTTATCCTCCTCTAGGCTCATAGAAACTACTCCTATCCGGAAAACAAGGACGAAGAGGAGCTCTGCTGAAGTGTTTATCACATTCATAAACAGAGCATGAAGCAGCGAGAAAGGATTTTCCTAGAAAACCGTCATCATGAGCTTTTCCTTTCTGTCATCTCGAGCTCAGATTAGAGAATGGACGGCCTCTTTCACAAACAAACAAACCTACAGTTTGTCTCTAGGTGTTAATGTGTGTGTGTGAGAGAGATGGTACACACAACTGTGCACTCAGCACTAATCAGGTTTGTGCAGCATGAAGACACAGCCAGCAGACAGATGGCCGAGGACTCGTAACACCAAAGACCACAGATGCTGAAGGCTTTGTGTGTCACCTCTGACGCTTTCTGCTGCTGAATAAGAACAAATGTGTATATGACTATTTCTAAGTTCAAAAGCTGTGCAAGACTTGTTAAGACAAGTATAATTATCTGATGCTGCACACTCACTACTCTTTAAGTCACATAGCAGACTATGTGCCTTTCATAAATACAATAAAATGTGCTCTAAATCCCCCACTCTCCCCACACACACACACACACGCACACACACACACACACACGCATATACACACGGAGAGATCTAATGAAATACACTGTTGAAAATAGAAAAAAAGCTTACCCTTGTGTCTTTGTGTGGTCAGAGCTGCAGTCACTTAGTTTGTGATGTATCATTCATCACTTAGAGAACCACCTGGGACACTAATCCACTGATCTCCAGTAACCCTCATCAGCTGACTTACTGTGTACGCAGTTGACAGCTCAAGAGAAGCAAGTAAGGACATCAGATGGTGCCTGCAGTCGCGAGGACACCCACATGTCCCTAATATTTGTGTGAAGTCACACAAATGTTAGACTCCAGGGCACCTGTCTGAGTCTGAACGTATATGTGTATATACACAGACCATTTTATTAGGTGTTCAAGTATATAATCAGCCAATGACACGGCAGCAACTTAATCCCTTTAGCTATCTAGACCCAATCAAGACGCACTACTGAAGTTTAAATATCAGAATGCACAAAGAAAAAAGGTGATTGAAGGGACTTGGTGCCAGGCTGACCTGAGTATTTCAGAAACTGATGATCTGATGGCATCTTTAACACACACACACACACACACACACACACACACACACACACACACACACACACACACAATGAGCAGCTTGGTGGCAGCAGCTGCGGCAGCAATAAGGGGAGAACGACCAGACTGCTTTAAACTGTCTGCAGAAGAGCTCCTTAGTGCCTCCTCAGCACTGTTGAACGCCAGTCTACCCAAGTATTGTTGCTGATGCGCAGGCATCTTCTTTAGGATAAGCCGTTGTGAGGTAAAGCCCAAATAATGTCAGACTGAGTTCTTGAGCGTGACAACTAAGGCTGTTCTGAAGTCAATAAGGACTTAACACACACTAATTATACCTAACAACATAGTGGCCACACTTACCTCCCGGTCACTTTATTAGGTGCATTACGTGTTTTCACAGTGGAGGACAATCATTAAACATGGCAACATGACCGAAGAGGTCAAAGAAAGTACACGTGATCCCTGTGAGATCAACACCTTTTCAGCTCTTGGCTCCGATGTTTATACAGGGCAGCTAATCAGAAGACCAGACGTCTTAAAGGGGGGCTGTAGTATTTGTAGCTAACAATATAGTGTAAAGTCTTTGAATAGAAATGAAGCTGCTGCACACCACAGAGCTGAGAAAAGCCACGATCAGAGGACGCAGACACCGTCCTGCTGTGCCCACTCCTCTGTGATCGAGCAGCGTTTACCCCTCTCATGTGAGTCGGGCTACAGGTGACACTTTCTCCTAAACACATGGGCACTGAACCATGAGTAATATGTTGCTGTGGATAATAAACTGCGTGACAACTTCATATTGTTCATTTTATTTTGTCTTTAGAAAATTCATCAGAGTAAAATACAAACTGTTACTGAGTAAAGAAAACAGGCATAAGTCCATACTGTGGGCTGTTCCACGCTGCACCTCACAGATAAAACACTTCCTGTTGTCCCAAGAAGGCTTACATCCGTTTCAAATGCAGAGACTGCTGCTCCTCTCGTCTAAGTGTCGATGGAAGCGCGTTGAAAGCTCCAGGTAAGCTGCGGCCATCTTTGTCACCGTCACCTGGTTGTTGCACTGTGCAGCCGAGGACCAGTCAGAGGTTCTCACAGTCCGTGTCACTCGTCTGCAGGGCGGAGGCCCAGGCCTGGTCTGATGGGGGGTTCGGCAGGACCCAGCTCTGAGGAACGGATGAACTACCAGGATGATCTACTGCCACCAAACATGTGTCCCATTCTTTTCTGAAACACAAATACGTGGGTGGCAGAACTCATGTTATTAGTCAAACTGCTGGTATACGAATCATAGCTCGTTCTCTTATTGAACAGCTGTTTTTGCCATACGAGTCCTCTCTCTGTCACTTCTAACATTATACATGTGGGAACATTCAAAACTATGATAAATGCAAACACCAGACGCAACTGCAGCTGTTACGTCCCCACACGAGCCTTGCTGCTGCCACTGGAATGAAGAGTGGGAGTAACACACACTTAGTTAGCTCATCATCATCAGTGTGAACACCTCGAGGAAAGCAGAAGTTTGAAGGTCTGCAGCACTCAGGTATGTTGAACACGGTGCCGAGGAAGAGGATGTCAGCAGCTGCTGTCATTCCCAAGCCCTTCATTCTGCAGCGAGAAGGATCATCCACATTCAACACCGCTGCCACGCTTCCCCAGAGTGGACGTCCCAGCCAACTCAGGCTGGGACACTGTTGTACTCTGTTCTGCACACACCAACCACTACTCACTTACCTACATGTACATCAAGTGGCAAAGAGCCAACTGGTGAAAGAAGACCAAATACAGTTATACTGATAATATTTATCTAATAGACCACGAGCCATGTTTTCATAAGATGCCAGTTTAACCACTGTCAATAACCGGTACGAACAGTTTCAGTCTGGCTTCAGTTCATGTCACAGCACAGAAACATCTCTGGTAAAAATCTCCAATGATCTTCTGCTTGCAGCTGACTCTGGACTCATCTCCCACCGCATCCTCCTTCACAGATTAGCATCTATTGGCATCAATGGTTCAGCACTCGCCTGGTTTACCTCTTATCTCTCTGGCCGCTCACAGTTTGTTCAATTACTCCGTCACAGATCAGTATCTACTCCAGTTAATTCCGGTGAACCCCAAGGCTCTGTCCTGGGTCCTTTACTTTTTATCATCTACCTCCTACCCCGAGGTAATATTTTTAGGAAGCATAACATCCAGTTTCACTGCTATGCAGATGACACCCAGCTCTACCTGTCCTCCAAACCCACAGCTACTCTCCCACCCACATCCATTTCTGACTGTTTAAGTGAAATCAAGCTCTGGTTTACTCACAACTTTCTTAAACTTAATGGCAATAAAACAGAATTTTAATAGGCTCCAGATCAAAACTGACTCCAGTTCCAACCAGTCTTTTGTTATCCATTGATAACTCTGATGTCACACCCTCCCCTCAGGTTAAGAGTCTTGGTGTCATCCTCGACAGCACTCTGTCCTTCACAGCACATATAAATAATATCACTCGGTCTTCCTACTTTCATCTCCGTAATATTAACCGTCTTCGTCCCTCACTCACACCACACAGTACCGCCATACTTGTCAATGCTCTTTTCACATCTCGTCAGGATTATTGTGATTCTCTTCTCTATGGTTTACCTCATAAATCATCCATAAATTGCAGTTGTTTCAAAATACAGCTGCTCGTATTATTTCCAGAACTAGATCCACTGAACATATAACAGCTGTTCTTAAACAGCTCCATTGGCTCCCAGTTCACCTCCGTGTCAAGATCCTGCTTCTCACTTTCAAAGGGCTTCATAACCTCGCTCCTCCATATCTATCCGATCTTCTCCATACTCACCCCTCCGTACACTCCGCTCTTCTTCAGCTTCCCTTCTGTCAGTTCCACCTGCTCGCCTGACTACCATTGGACTCAGAGCCTTTAGTTGTTCTGCCCCGAGACTTTGGATGCACTCCCACTTGCTCTCCGGACCACACACTGTCTCACCACTTTTAAATCACTACTCAAAACCCATCTGTTTAGAACTGCATACACCTGATCTGTCTTAGGCCATTTTTACCTGCTCAGTTTTTATATTTGCTTTTATACTTTTATGACTGTTTATGTCTAGATTTTATCTACCATGTTTGCTATATGTACATTTTTCTTATGTTTTTTATGGTATTGTTTACGTGCTACTGTGAGGTGACCTTGAGGGTCTGAAAGGCGCCTATAAATAAAATTTATTATTATATTATTATTCATATTTTCTACACTTTCCTCACAAAGAGCCCAACAGAGAAAGCAAAGTGTACAAAGATGTGTGACGAGCAGACTGACCTGACGTGGATGAGCGCAGGCAGCGAGTGCTCCGCCTGGCTGTAATAGTCTCTGAAGGGCTGCAGGGCACAGCTGCCTGGGAACTCCTCTATCAAACAAACACAACAGGAGTGGATGACAACACAGTCATATCCTGTGCACGCACACACGCGCACACACACGTGCACAGCCATACCCCCAAACAGCATGGAGTCTACTCTGTGCTTCCTCTGCAGTTGTCGCTCTCTCTCCTTCCTCACTCGGCGCTCCCGCTCTCTCCTCCTCTCCTCCTCTTGCTCTCCTTCCAGCATCACCATCAGGGCCTTCTCCTCTGCCGAGTAAACTACAGTCCTCCTCTTTATCACCAGTCTCAGCTGCTCCAGGGTGCTGCTGAACACCTCATCGTTTTGCAACTCAGTCACAATGCCTGTGTGATGGAAATGTATTTTATTATTTATCACACGTTTCGCTTCTGTGTCACTCAGTTGAATTCATGCGGGACAGCATTTAGTTTCAACTTTATTGCATGCTCAACTAGGCTTCGTGAGGACATTGGAGACACCCAGGGGCCGTGTGGGGGGATTCGACAGGTGGAGATTTTTGTTCTAATATCTCTCAGGAAGTGGTGGGATGAGGCAGGAAGCAGTCTTTAGGTGACACTCTCTCTTTCTCTGAGGGGTCAAGGATGACCTGTATTTAAAGAAGTGCTGTACTTTTCAGTGTTAAACTTCCACGACACCTGGCATAAATGGAGTCACATGTCTCATGTCTGAATCTATGTGCGAGTTTAAAGCCATTGCAGGGGGGTGCAGTATGAAAAGGGGAAAAAAAACAAAAACAAAATGCTTGGACACTGCTAGCACGGGGCGCCCACACAAACGCAAAGCAGGAGATGAAGCGTCACTGAATATGTTTCCAAACCAACTTCATTCTAAGCCAAAGACTAGAAAATATGGTGAAGCAAATCTGCCCTTTGGCTTCACCTGCACAGGTGCTGAGGTAGGTCTCCCTGCAGGGTTGCTTTTCCCTGCGTCAGGAGCAGCGCTGGGCTGTTTAAATCACGGACAAACAGGATCCCACATTCTTGATTTTTAGTTCACAAACACTTCTCATAATGACTAAATACTCCTGACATGTTGGAGATGTGAGCTCTTTATACAGTAAAGTTACAGCAGGACAGCAGTTACAGCAAAAGAGTTTAAAAAAAATTTCAGTTTTGATTCGAAACGTCGTTTACGTGGACGAAACAGCTGCGTGTTCAAAATCACCCGTGTAGGTGCGGACGCAGCGTGAAAGAGTTAGTAGTTTATTTTATTACTACCTGTAATTTATTGCTGATTACTTGTATTTGCTTAACTGTTTACTAAATGTTTGAGGTGTGAAATAAACCAAAATATGGGCGTGTGTGTGTGTGTGTGTGTGTGTGTGTGTGTGTGTGTGTGTGCGCGCGGCGAACATTTTTCTTGCAAAACAAAGGGGGGCCCAGCAAAAAAAGTTTGGGAACCAAACCCCAAGCCATCAAACTCCTGAACACTCAATGAGTGGACTGACACACACCTACCACAAGCACTTTTTTTTCCTCATACACACACTTTTTGCACAACCCACTGTCATTGTTGCAGTGTTGTGACTGCACTGTCCTGTGTCTGTATAGTTCTGGTGTTGCACTGTTTGTTTTGCAATTTTGGCACACTTGTACTTTATATAGTCTTTTGTTGATTGCCTGTTATATGTAATATGTAGCACCAGGTCTCGGAGAAACTTTCTGACAACAAGGCCACTTGACTTGACCTGCCCGAGAGAAACTGCTGAATCAAACTATCCAGTTCTTTAAAGTAAGAATCTTGAATATATAAGTGGGATACTAGATATTATATAATAAATCAAATGTGCAGTCATCATTGTGTAAGGTTTATTCTAAACAATCTACCAATTTTTTCCAGCATTGGTCTCATGTTTGCTTTGACCATATCAGTATAGTCGGAGGCAATTTGTATACAGGAGTATCTGAGACCATCTGAGGACCACCAAAATTGCCACTGTTTGAATAAAGTATAAGGGGACTGTCCTAACATGGGCATTATTCTGCCCATGTCATGTTATGAATTTGCATATAAAATAAGTTTATGATGATTGCTGTCCACAGCAACTTTCATGTTGTTTCTCAACTTTTGTGCCAAATGTTCTATGGCAGTTGTGAACAACCCAGGGCTGAGGGGGCAACCTTGTCTCATGGATCTCTGTGAATAAAATGCAACCAATATAAACCCATGTGTCAAAACGAAGGCCAAAGCCAACTTTTTCTAATGTCTTAAACAAATAATCCCATTCAGCACAATCAAAGGCTATCTAACATAGCCTTGTTCTTAGTATAAGAATGTAAAGCCTCCTTTTAGCTGAGATTCCTGTGTGGTGATATTTTCATTAGCTGTCTTCTTCATAAAAGGAAGCTAAGGAAATAATCCTCGTCCTCAAATATTCTTTCGTAGCATCCCACCAGACACCCATTTTTGTGTCATCTCAGGAAAAATAATGTATGTCACCCCTAATCATTATAGCAAATAACATGTCTTTAAGTAAGAACACATTCAAACGCCACCAACGACTTTTGGGGGTCTGTCAAATGTTTTTAAGGCTCGGAAAAATTGTCCAACTGTAACCATGGTGAAGTCTGCAAAGCCCATTCAATACTAAAGCATTAAAGACTCCAGCATAAATTAATAAGAAAGATTCAGGTTTGCTGCAACCTGATAGACAGGGGGAGAGTCCACTCTGAGAGTGCATCCAGCTCGATACAACACCTACTCCCACCTTTCTTGGATACCGCTTCTCTCCTCAGCCTACGCAGCTTCTCCAGGGATCTCAGGATGTCCTGCATCCTCTTCACATCCGCCTGCTTCTTCCTAACTTCACAAAGGACAGAGTCTGCAGCCATCTTCAGTTCCTTCTCCTGCAACACAAACACTGATGTTAGCATTTGGAACAACACCACACAGGACGACAGGCGCTATGACCGGAACAAGCTGTGGCCATAATGAGCCCTCTTCAGAGCGTTTCATTCTCCATACTTGATGCAGCCCTGACACAAGCGCTTTGGAGCACCTCTTGTTTCAGTACCAACCGCTCTTTAAGCTTGCTGCAGTCTGATTGGCTGCCGCTCATAAACACAGTCTTTGCAGCACTATGATCTGAGCCAAAAGTGGAACAAACTGTCCCAAACATGCAGTTGGCTTCATAATATGAAACCCTGGCCATGATTACAGCCACGGGAAGTGTAACAGTTAACTCTTTAAACACGTGGCTGACAAAATCGTTCATACCTTTTTCTTCTCCTCCACTTCCTGCATCAGTTTCATCCTCCATTTGTCTACAGCGGTCTCTTTGAGAGACCTGCGCTCTTCCGCGTCTTTCTCCTCCGTCTTTGCTTCTCTCCTGGCTCTGAGTCTGCGGAGCCTCCTGCAAGCAGCCCGGGACACTTGAGCCTTCAGCTCACCTAACCGTGAGGTGTCGGCGAGAAGTCTGGCTTTGTCCGCCAGCTCTGCCTTGATGCCTAAAGCCCTTAAGTATGAGTGCGTCCACTCACCGTCACCGTGCAGAGAGTGAGTCAGAGTGTGACAAAGGTCTTCCAGCCGTGAAATGAGCTGAGCTGCCCCGTACAGAGCCTGTCTGAGGGAGGAGATGGAGCTCAGTTGCGGCGAGTGCTGGCTCTGTAGCCTCCCGCAGCTCTTCTTCCCTGTGGCCTGTAAGAACTGTCTGACCCATTTCGTGTCCTGCTTCCTCTGCCGGGTCACATCATCGTCCGGATCCCGTGTCGCTACCGGGCCGCGGTGCTCCGTGTGGCTGCGGTTTGACGCTAGCTCACGGTCACAGCGAGGAGCGTGAGGCCGTGTTTGGAGTTGCTGGGGGGCTCCGGGGATGCTTGGGAGTGGCGCGTTCAGGAGGTGTCCGGGGGGTGGGCAGCCGAAACCAGGCGGGGGCACAGAGGGGTCAAATCCATAAGGTTGGGCAAAAGGTGGCCCCGTGAAACCCACACCGAAGGGACGAGCGTCGTAAGCCGGCGGAGGCGTCCACTGTGGAGCCGTGAGGTCCGGCTCCCGCGCTTCGTGAAGCCCGGGGTGACTGTACTGCGAGTGCACATAGCTGCTGTTATAGCCCGAAGTGTCTGAGCGGTACGAGCTATCCATGGCCTGGTAACAGTCACCGTATCCTTGAAGAAAACTCGGAACGACACCGCTGAAACAGAACAGTACGCGGCGACTTTCTTCTTTAGTTCTAAATGTTTGTGTAGTAACCAACTTGCGGCTGCATCATCGCCACCTACAGGCGGAAATGTGGAACTCAGCCACTCAGGGGCCGCATCCTTGAGAAGGTACACTGTACTGTGGAGCTCCACAGTGGCTGCAGCCAGGTGCTCTTGGGGCATCCTTCGACGTACATGGCCTTCGCAGGCCGGAAGTGCAAGGCTTCTTAAAACGTTTGTTTCGCCGCATAAATGAGTGACATAAAACTGAGTACTTACTATTAAAAGCTTACTCTTCTGCCATGCTATGAATCCTGGGATAGCGTGGACAACGAAGGATACCCCCGACCCATCTTCAAATCCGGAGGACGCATTTGTTTTTGTTGTTGTTGTTTTTTGCAATGCATTTATTGAATAACAAAAACACGGCACAGTGCAGACGTCACAAACAGACAAGTGCAGATGAAATAAAGGAGCACAAAAAAGGACAAACAGTAAAAATAAGTAAACTGCCAAGCAAAATTACATGAAATGTGCAAAGGGTTAACATTTAGTTTTTCGATATTCTTCATCTGCTTCTGCAGCAGCCTTCGTTGTCTCGCTGTGACATAATCAGCTTTCAAATCGGTCCGAAAGATTCACCCCCTGAATTGGGAGACGACACTACACTTCATGTTTGAAAAACATCGTCACAGATTCACTCTTGCTGTTTTGCTTCCACCGCAATAATATCACGCTTCCTGCACAGCTCTCTCTCTCTCTCTCTCTCTCTCTCTCTCTCTCTCGTTGTGCTCCAAGAACAGTTTACCATCAAAAATCTGTTTTCTGCATGATTTGCTTACTTATCGCTCTACTGCAGAATACTTTTAAGGCGGTTGGCTGCTATAAAAACAGGCCAAGACAATCTCCTTCATGTTTTTCTGTGTTTTATCCTCATCACTGCAGATAATACAAACCTGGAGCAGTTACGCCATATTTGCGTTAGATAAATTAGATTATTAGCTTGAAAGGAAACAGCAGGGGGCGCTGCGCTGGAAGCTTTCGATTCATTCTTCATTAAACCAATAGAAGAAGTGGCGCGGAGGTGAACGCGGCAGCCAGGAGCTTTTACGGAAGTGTGTGAAAGCAGAGTCACATGAGCAGGCGGCCGCTTAAGAAACGGTACCCCGACATGGACCTGGAGTCTCGAATACGGTGACTGACGTCCACGGGTAGCACGGGAACAGCGGCGTCACGGCGTCTCGGGCCGCGGTGAACATCTGTGGTAAGTCATTTAGCCGGTGCTCTCGTGCAGTTAGCCGCGGAGCTAACAGCAGGTAGCCGCGGCGGGTGGTGTTTTCTCCCCGAACCTCCCCCGGCCGAAGCACGCCGCCATCCTGTGACTGCTACTTTGTGTGTCCACAGATGGACGAGATTAAAGTGTCTCCGGACTACAACTGGTTCAGAAGCACGGTGCCACTGAAGAGAGTGAGTACACAGAGCTGCTCGGCCCACTGCGTCATTAAGGAAGTACACACTTGTTATGTCCTCTCTGTGCCTGCGAGGAAAAACAAACTCGCTTGCGGTTAGAAGCCAGGTTACTGTTTAGTACAGGTGCATGGCGGAGGCGGGCTGGAACCGAAACTATGATCCGAGCTCACCGAGGCCTTCTGCTCCACTGAACCACAACATGAAGAAAAAGCCATTTTTATTTAACTTTCGTGCTGGATTGAGCAGTATGAAAACAAAAATGTCAGTAGGCAGTCTAGAGTTTGCACATGTAGTTCGACTAATTACAAAATGATTGTTAAATATTTTTGCGAGCATACCCTGGAGGAGTCGGGGAGAGTTTACAGGAAGTGGCATTAGAAACACAACTTTGAGGTTTTTTTTAACGTCTGTTCTAAATTACAGACCCTGATTTTGATGTAAGACAATTTAGACTTTTTTCTTTAATAGTTTTTAAATGCTCATGTTCAAATTTGGCCTCGGACTTTAAAGTGGGGAAAGGTGGGTGGATAGGACTTTAAAAGTAAATGTATGTGATATATGAAGGTATAATTTCAGAATCATCATCATCCATGTCTGAGTTTTCAGAGATGACTGAGCAGGAAACGCTCTAAAAACGTTGTTTGGAGTTGTTTATGTTGTTATACGTGTGTTTCTGACATGGCAGTGTATTTCATTTTGAAATGTCATAGTGATTGTGACAGTGCACATGAATACATGGAGGGTTACACGTGGATGCACAAGCATTCTTGTGGTCAGATCACCAGTCGTGTGCTCGGTGTGACCTTTGGCACTGAACATGACAACATCTCATATGATCCACAGGATTTTGGTGCAGCCGCATTTGAGTTGCACCACAAACTAGTTTTACTACATTAGTACTTTAGTACATTAGTACTACTATGTGCTAGTATGTACCACGTTTCCCCCGTCCATGTGTTAGAGCTGCTCTTCATCACGATATCTTCTCTTTAGTTCCAGTGACACTCCTCCAGGGAGAGTCACAGCAGCTTAGTTCTGCTCACACTAACACACTGCTGTTGGTGGTGCTGTCTGAACATGGGTTCACTCTGTCGCCGTGCCAGGAAATAGTTAGGCTCCAAGTGGTTAGTCTGTGAGCTACTGAATGCCTGGCTGTCCTCAGATCTGGTGTGCATGAGGCTTTCTGCCACTGCAGACTTCCTGCTTTGTTGTCATGTGAGCACTGAAGGCTTCTGTCCTTAACACATGTTGGTCAGTCAGCCATCTGTCACATGGTCACATTTATACTGATGTTGTGTGCAGTAGTCACAGGGCCGCTGCTTTCAGCATCACGTGCTCGGACAGCTAAACTAGGGCGGCATGGACGATAAAAAATCTTTTGTTTCCAAGCTTCATTTAATCCACAGCTGTGCAGTGCCCATATTTGTGCAGTAGAGAGTAAAAAGTGTTCAATTTCAATTCAATTTTATTTGCACAGTGCCAAATCACAGCAACAGTCGCCTCAAGGTGCTTTATATTATAAGGTAGACCCTACAATAGTACATGCAGAGAAAACCCCAAAAATCATATGACCTCCCCCCCCCTCCCCCATAAGCCATCATCATCATCATTTATTTATTTATTTATTTATATAGCACTTTAAAAACACACCTGGTAGACCAAAGTGCTGTACAATACTAATATGCACATAGTAATAAAACCAGACATAGCAATAAAGTTAAAAAACAATAAAAAATAAAATAAAATAAAATAAAAATGTCAGTTACCCACAGAGTTAAAAGCCAGGGAATAAAAATAGGTTTTTAATAAAGACTTAAAAACTGGCACTGATGCAGCCTGTCTAATATGGAGAGGAAGGTTATTCCAAAGCATCGGCGCGGCAACAGAGAACGCTCGGTCTCCTCTAAGTTTCAGCCGTGACTTTGGGACTGAAAGCAGCAACTGCTCAGCTGACCGAAGGGAACGAGTGGGGACGTGGGGCTTCAACAAATCAGACAAATAAACAGGTGCCAGACCATTAGGGATTTAAAAGCCAATAAAAGGACTTTAAAACGGATCCTGAATTCAATTGGAAGCCAGTGTAAAGAGGCCAAAATCGGAGTGATGTGATCAAATTTTCTTCTACCAGTTAAAAATCGTGCCGCAGCATTTTGCACTAATTGCAAGCGTGACAAAGTGCCCTGCCCAACCCCTGTTAAAAGAGAATTACAATAATCTAAACGTGAGGTAATAAAGGCATGAATAACGCTTTCCAAGTCACGCTTGGAAAGAAAGAGCTTAACCTTTGATAAACGTCTGAGGTGATAAAATGCTGATTTTACCACCCCGTTTACATGGTCATCAAAGGTGAGTGCAGAATCAATTTTAACTCCGAGATTTGTGATCGAACTCTTTAGTTGGGAAGTCAAAGCTGCAAGATCAACATCCAGAGTATGAGAAGAACGATTTGGGCCAAATAAAATTGCTTCTGTCTTCCGATCATTAAAATTTAAAAAGTTTTTTGCCATCCATGCTTTGACATCAGTAAGGCAGTCAAGCAGAGGTCCAGTTGGGAGACTATCAGAATGACTAAGAGGTAAGTAGAGCTGGCAGTCATCTGCGTATAGATGGAATGGCACTTTATGCTTTCGGAAAATCGCGCCAAGAGGCAAGAGGTACAATGAAAACAATAACGGCCCAAGAATAGATCCCTGTGGAACACCCCAAAGCAGAGGGGCCACAGAGGATGAGGCCGACCCCAACTTAACACAAAATGTCCTATTTAAAAGATAGGACTTTAACCACAAAAGTGCCGAACCAGTAATTCCCACACAGTGCTGTAAGCGGGAGATCAGCAAATCGTGATCCACAGTGTCAAATGCAGCTGTCATGTCCAACAAGACCAGCACTGCATATTTACCACGGTCTGTCGCTATCAGGATGTCATTCATAACTTTTACGAGGGCTGTCTCCGTGCTGTGGAATGGCTTAAAGCCGGACTGAAAGATTTCTGACAATTTAGAGTCATTCAAGTAGTCCATCAACTGAGTATAAACAATCCTTTCCAGAATCTTACTAAGAAAGGGAAGCTTAGAGATGGGTCTAAAATTTGATATGACTGAACTGTCTAAGCCTGGTTTCTTAAGTAAAGGATGTATGACTGCATGCTTAAATTCCCTAGGTACTTGACCAGACAAAAGACTAGTATTAATAATGTTCAGAATATGTGGTCCGATGATAGGAAATACCTTTTTAAGAAAACGGGGAGGAACAACGTCATTTGGAGAGCCACACGGTTTAGCATTCAACACAAGTTTCTCTAAATCAGATAAAACAATTGGTAGAAAAGCAGAGAACAGACTTGAGCAAGAACCATGCATGGCTGGGTCAGCAATAGGTAGAGTCGGAGGTCTCAAACTAGCAACCTTATCCACAAAATAATTAAGAAACTTATTGCAATCACTTTGGCGACAGTGGGAAGGAAAAACTCCCTCTTAACAGGAGGAAACCTCCTGTAGAACCAGGCTCAGGGAGGGGCGGGGCCATCTGCTGTGATTGGTTGGGGTGAGAAGAGAAAGACAGGATAAAAGATATTAGATAAAGATTTAGCTACTAGCCAAATCCAGTGGAGTGGTTTGGTTTAAACTAGAATAAAACCAACAATGGTCTTAAAAATTATATATTTTAAATTAAAATAATTAAAGACACTACCCAAAAATGGGTTTTAATCTAGTTTAAACCAAACCACTCCACTGGATTCAGCTACACTTTGGACAGTGTTTCTGGAATGCAGTAGCTAGCGAGCTGATTGGACACCAAAACAGCCAATCAGAATTTGTGTGTGTGTGTGTGTGTGGATAATAGCAAACACTGAAATACATTTCTTGCAAGCAGCAATGAATTTTCTTCACTCAAAATAATTTTCTCCTCAAAATGCAACATTTGTATTTGCAAAAATTATGTAGGCGCACTCAGAATAGAGGCCCAAAAATAACAGCATATACCGAGGCATCCAACAGAATGAATGCTGGATAGAAAGCACATGCATAGAAAAATGTTTGGGTAGAGTAGAAGCAGTCCGTTTACCGCAGCATATATGTAACATGAGCCAGGCCTGCAGCACTCATCATTCTGTATTTAGTGAACGCTGTAATAAAACTCCAACATGGATACATGTAGTGAGCATTTAGTCACAGATGGGCGGCACGTAGAATGGCCAACAAAGAACCTGGCATCACATTCATGCTGAATGATGAAATGAATATAAAATGTACAAAAATCAGAACATATAATGAATGCTTTTGAAAAACAGAGATGTGACTGAATGGGCTCAGGAAACGGCAACTGTAAAATGTTTGGTCTCCATTAGGGCTGGGCGATATATCGAGTTTTTTAAAAATATCGATATATTTTCATACGAGATATAAGATGTGATTATATCGATATAGTCTGTTACGTTATAATTATACTTGTGGAGCCGCAGGTTTGCCTCTTTCGTCCACTTTTGTCTCTACGCAACGTTACTCGGCCTCGCCTCTCCTTCACTGAACACAACTCCCCCTCCCCCATAGCTTCACCTGCAGGCAATGACAAGATGAAAGAGGAAAATCTCCGTTAGCGAGTTACTGCGGATCGCCCCGTGCGTGGGGCTGGACGGTGTCAACGTGTTAGCGAGCTAACCGCGCTAACGACATGCAGCCCGGAGGGGCTGCACGGCCTAAAATCCTTTCATTTTCTCAAATCGACAGTGCGCTTTATGTATGAATTCTGGTTGTGCTTACTGACCGCGAACCGATTTTATGTGGAACACGGCGCTCAGCAATCTGTCAAAAAATGTTTTAATATGACTTTGCTAAGCTACGGAGCTGCACTGCTTGATGGATTGTCGGAGGATTACAGCTACCGAGGAGGAGCCTCGCGGAGTGATACGTACTGTGCTTCAACGTAATATTACCGTACTGTGTGTATAAGGACCACAAATGGCACCTGTTCAGAGACGTGGTGCAGCTGTGAAATCTGTCTCTTTGTTATTATGCTCAGCGTCTATTAGTTTACATTTTGACTGCACAATTGTGAGCTTTTTGTTATGCACAAAAACAACATTGTTTTCTTTTATTTATGGACCATGATTATTTAATAAATGCTGATAATTTATTTTTGAGTAATTTCTTCATGTACATCTACGCTGTATGTAAATAAAAGTGCCCGTGTGACATCTGGGACACAGTGTGACTAGAACTCTCTTTTTGTTCTTAACTTAAAACTTAAAAAAAAATATCGAGATATGAATTTTGGGTCATATCGCCCAGCCCTAGTCTCCATCACAACCTTTAAGAGCTGCAGTCTTTCTGTTGGCATGTTGTTTTAAATAGGCAGCTGGTCTCTGTCATGTGTTTCTCTCCTCAGATTATTGTTGATGACGATGACAGTAAGGTGTGGTCACTGTACGACGCTGGACCAAAGAGTGTCCGCTGTCCCATCATCTTCCTCCCTCCAGTCAGCGGCACAGCGGAGGTGTTCTTCCAGCAGGTGCTGGCTCTGACGGGCTGGGGCTACAGAGTCATCTCGGTGAGCGATCCCGGTGGACTATTGTGTGCAGTAACTCTGCACAGGATAGTCTTTCTCAAATTTCTTTGGCAGTTCTTTGAATAACATATTAAGTCCAGTTGCTACTGGAAGATGAGACGCTCTGCCACAGTAGCACAAAGCCTCAGTCGGGATTAGGAGTGGGTTTTGATAATTGATTTTCCGATTAAAATCAATTTTACCTTGGATAAAGCAATATCGATTCATTCAATCCTGAATCGATTTTTAAATATAAATGTATTTTGCCAGAAACACCAGAATCTCAGGTTAAACTACAGGTGGGCGGCAGAAACTATATAAATCTGGCCCACGGATTTTGACTATACCGCTCTACCGCGATAACGCATGTTGATGGTGTCATTAAGCTGCGCCTGTTTTGGACGAAAGCATGGGAGCGGCTGCAAGCAGTATCATCTGCAAATTATGCCGGGCGACAGTCATAGCAAAGAGATGAAGTACTTTTGAAATATGGGGAAAGCCAAAAACTGCGCTTCCTCCAGTTCCGTACCATCGATTCATTAATGCTGAATTCTCCTCTCTGTTCCCATGTTGTTGCAGTATATTAATGACTAACCTCGTATTGTGGATGGATCATCTCAGTTGTTCTCCAGACTGAAGTTTGGTCCGTTTACAGCATCCTGCCATGCGATTACATTTGTCCCTGACCATCAGACCCCCACGTTAAATTTTATCGAGTGGGGGAAAAAAAGTTAGCGTTCATCCTCCAGCTTCACTGTTTATATTATGCTAACATAGCTGTGTAGCTAGCGATCACGTAGCACATCATTATATAGCAGCTAGCCCAACTTCAGTAACCCTGCAAACGTCACTGCTGTTTAGTTTCCTGTCTTCATTTATGTTGGAAGTGATAGCAGAGCCGAACGTTTGAATGCTTCAGAAATCTCTCAGTCAGAACATGCTATGTCATGTTTAGGTGGAAGCTAGCGGGTACCGCATAAAATCGGTTCGAGGTCAGTGAGCACAACCAGAATTCATACATGAGGCGCACTGTCGATCTTTGAGAAAATTAAAGGCTTTTGCCCCTTGTAGTGTGGAAAACATGTTATACAGAAGAACAGAATATATCACGATGTAAGTCATTACCGCACATGCTTCAAATTATACCGTGAAATGGATTTTAGGTCCTATCGCCCAGCCCTAGGTTAAACCTCACAAAACCATTTCATCAACCAGCAAACAGCTAAAACAGTAAATGAGAGCAGGTGAGCGGATTCAGCACAAACACAAAGCGTGGACCTGACGCATCAGGTGCATCTGTGAGCCGACAGCTCACAGATTCTGATGCTGCAGGTTTTCTCACTTTCCGACCAACATTCACGAAACCAAAAGATTCAAACTACACTTCATGTTTGATAACATCGTCATGAATTCCCTCTGACTTCTGCTGCTTTGCTGCCACCACGGTAAAATCCCTGAACAGCTCAGTTTCCTGTTTTCTGCATTATTTACTTGCTAATTACCCACCAGTCAAACATCGCTGTCCACCGCTGTTTTTTTTTTTTTTTTTAATGACTTCCAACAACAAAGCCTCATTTCTGCTGTGTCATACTGAAGAAATACAAACTTTTTAAAATTATGCCAAATTGCAAAACGCTCAGCTGTGTTTCTAATCAAACCTCTGTAACTTTGCTCTGCTTCACTTCAGCAGCATCAGGTAATATTCAGATGTTGATTCATGGTTTTCTTTCATTTTTGTTCTACTGCAGAATGTTTTTAAGGTTATCTGTTATAAAAAGCCAGGCCAGGAAAATCTCCTTCATGTTTTTCTGTTTTATCCTCAGTTACTTTGACACAAGGCCTCTGCTGTGATGCTCACACCTCTGATGAAGTCTCACAAGTGTCAGTACTGATAAATGATCAGAATCATAATATTTCTGAATGTCTGAGTTAAAATTGGATCTAATTGAGTCGTGGATCGAATCGGGACCTTGTGAATCGGGATCAAATCAATTCTAGAAATCAGTGACGATACCCAGCCCGAGTCAGGAAGTTGTGAAACTGTGGGAGTGTCTGCCGCTGAGTCGGGGACATGATGGACCTGCTTGAAATGTTCATTGCTAACCCCACACAGTTTGTTCCAAGTACAAACTTACTAACCAGATAATGGAATATGCCTGACACCACTAACTGAATGTGATGGCGTTGTTTTGGTGCTGTGATTTGCAGCTGCAGTATCCCGTCTACTGGGATCTCATGGAGTTCTGCGATGGCTTCAGGAAGCTTCTGGATCATCTGCAACTGGATAAAGTAAGGCCGTACTTTGTGTTGACGGTGACTGATCTGTATGTAGACCAGAGTTGTGATTATGCTACAAACGGTTATTTTGACAGTCAACTAGTCAATGATTATTTTTGCGATGAATCGACTAATCAGATCATCATCCATTGGACGTACAGCTTATTGCACCAGCAGCATCTGCTCTTATATAACTATCCTTAGCTTACAGCTTTAAGTGTGTAAGGTGTGTGCTAACTAACAATAAAGACAAGATGATAGTTTATTAAACTTTAATGAAATTTGCAGATTGTCTCTCTGGAGGTTAATAAACTCGGCCGTCTGCTCCTTGCTATCTAAAATATAACAGGACACTGAAGTAAACTCTCGACCATCTCACACTTCAGTTTAATCAGTTTTCTGTTTGACGTTTATTCAGCTGTGTTTAAACTTTAATCTCAGCCAAACAGAGTTATTCAGGAACAAATAAAACACTGAAAAAGCCAAACAATAACATTTTAAGTTATCTAAATGACTTCTATATCAAGTTTAATCTGAGTAGCTAAAGACTGCGCACAGTCTGAAAACGATGTGCTGGGAGTTCACTGTTCTTGCCGGCTCTAAGGAGCCTTGAACCCCGGCTCGCTGTCGAGCTGGTGGGTAACAGACGTCTCCGAAAACATCGGAGCGCTTTTGCAAACATGTGATGTCTTGATAAACCGGGCAGATATTTTAATTTTACACTGCTACATATTTAAGATGTTAGAAAGATATTTAAGATATTGCAAAATATCTTAAAAGTTTATTTCATGACCCAGAAAGAGTAATATTAAAACTAAGTAGCTGCCACCATTGTGGGAAACTGGAATTGGCTGGGCCGTGCTATGAATTGTGGGATAGGTTGGGCCACAAAGGACACACCTGAGCCATCCTTCAAATCTGGGGGAAAGGAGGACGCATTTGGATGAGTCTTTGAACTTGGATGGCCTTTGTCACGTCACTGTAACGCAGGGGTCCCCAATCCCAGTCCGCGAGGGCTGGTGTCCTGCAGGTTTTAGATCTCACCCTGGGTCAGCACACCTGAATCACATGATTAGTTCATTACCAGGCCTCTGGAGAACTTCAGGACATGTTGAGGAGCTAATTTAGCCATTTAAATCAGCTGTGGTGGATCAAGGACACATCTAAAACCTGCAGGGACATCGGCCCTCGTGGACTGGGATTGGAGACCCCTGCTGTAACATAACGGCCTCCAAAAGATGCGGCCCTTAAATTTGGACACAGCTACAATACAGCTTCTTCTTCTTTGGCATTAGACGACAGCTGGCATCCTTGTACATGCAGTGCTGCCATCTCCTGTTTCAGTCCGTTATTACACTCTTAAATCCTGCTACTTATTCCTGCGTCTTTCAGGATCTTACAAAGCTTCAATTTAGCGACTATTAAATTAGTCGTCGACGATTTTGATAGTCAACGTGATCGTGACTGGTCGACTAATCGTGGCAGCCCTAGTTGTGATCAAACAGTCCTCCCACCTCCTGCTGACAACTTTACCTCAACCGTGGTCAAGAAAGAGAGGGCTCTGACTGCACTGGGCTCTGTAATAATCATTGTTTTTAAACTGCGCTGTCACCTTATCTCAGTAAGAACTCATAAATGCCTACACACAAACAATATTATGGAAGGCTGTCGGGTTTTGAAATCCCTACATGCTGGTGTCAGTCAGGCTTCAGTCGGCTTTGATCCCGCTCAGTGGATTTGGCCAAAGCACTAGAACCGCAGCTTATGAGTGCGAGCACCCTGACCGTGAGCTGAGAGCAGAAACGGAGGTCATGCAGAACTCTGCCAGGGTCTAAAACACAGGTTAGGCTAATGAGCAGTGTGCTTCAGGAACCACCACAGTGCCCCCTTGTGGGGAAAGCAGTTCCTGCACTCTGCAGATACTGTGATAGAAAGTGTGTGTAGCGGAGTCCATTCACACCAGAGCAGAACTGCTGACAGTGGCAGGCGTGTGGATGTAATCATGACATGAATATGGATGCAGAGCTACATCTGAATGGCTGGAACTGCGACCTCGTGAAACCTGCTGTTGGACACCGCTGGCACTCGCCATCATGGCCACAGTATGAACAGATGTTTACCCAAAACTAGGACAGCTTTCACTCACTCCTGCTGGTTACCGTTCACATGTTGTTTTTAACTGAACGTGTATTAAGGTGCAGAGCTCATGGCCGCTTCGAGGTGTGCCTCGAGTGTGTGACGGTGTTGCTGTGACTCTTCAGGTACATCTGTTTGGAGCATCTCTGGGAGGATTCTTGGCTCAGAAGTTTGCTGAGTATACACACAAGTCTCCCCGAGTGCACTCGCTCATCCTCTGCAACTCATTCAGCGACACCTCCATCTTTAACCAGACATGGACTGCAAACAGGTGCTTTTGATGGATGGATGGATGGTGGATGGATCAAAGTGTTTGGTCAATTTCATGTGTGTTGTGTTGTCCCTCAGTTTCTGGTTGATGCCAGCGTTCCTGCTGAAGAAGATTGTTCTGGGAAACTTTGCAAAAGGACCTGTGGACCCTAAAATGGCAGATGCAATTGATTTCATGGTAGACAGGGTAAGTGTGTGCGCGTCTGTTACTTGTACAGTGTTGTTACCACAGAATACCTTACTGCTCGATCAGCTTTTCCAAGGCAGAGATATTTCACTTTGCTAAACACGGTGTTCTTTCAGGCTGAAGAACAGGACCATTTAATTAAGAAATTGGAAAATGGGTGCAACAATTATACAAATATATACGGAAACCCAGTATATGAGGCTGAAACTCAGTGTATACAATTCTTAAACCTCAATATTTGATTTGAGCACCTTTTATTTATCGACACAGCCTGAACTGCTGCCGACAGCTTTCTTTAAACCAGTGCAGTGACATCCTTGTGCTCCATCAGCCGTGTCTGAATAGAGCCAGAGGTGGGTGGGTGACCCTCCGACTGCCCACTGTGAACACAGCAGTGTAACCTTGTGCACCTCTCTCCTGTCTCCCCTCCTGGTCCCGCAGCTGGAGAGTTTGAACCAAAGTGAGTTAGCATCGCGACTAACGCTCAATTGTCAGAACTCGTATGTGGAGCCACACAAGATAAAGGACGTTGCTGTGACCATCATAGATGTAAGTGTTAAAGCAGAGTTGTCATGAAGTATAGCAGAACCCATTCAGCTGCTCCTGTCACCTGATGTGGTGTTTCCTCTGGATGTTGAGGTGTTTGATCAGAGCGCTCTGTCACTGGAAGCCAAAGAGGAGATGTATAAGCTGTATCCTAACGCCAGAAGAGCGCACCTGAAAACGGGAGGAAACTTCCCGTACCTGTGCAGGAGCGCTGAGGTCAACCTCTACATACAGGTAGGCTGTTTCTTCCAGGTCTGTTTCCTGTGTAGCACTTCTCCACAAACACATTCTAGCCGAACTCGTCTTCTGCAGGCAGGATAGTCTGTTGCAGCTTTAGATGACGGAGGATGATTTTCATGTTGGATGAGCTGTGCTCGCTCACTGATCATGTCGTTGTGTGTCGTACGCTGTCAGCTGACGTTGTTTTAACTTGTCTACAGATTCATATGCGCCAGTTTCACGGGACAAGGTACGCTGCTATAAACCCTGCCATGGTGAGCGCTGAGGAGCTGGAGATGAGCAGTAACCAGGACTCTGAAGACTACCAGTGAGCTGGCATCCACAGCTCGGGTCTTTCTGAGCAGGTTTCACAGGACGCTGGCAGATTTTCTGTGGAGTTCAACAGCTAACCAGCACGTAACCTGAGATTATTTTTTATTGAACACATGAAGCAATATTTTGATTAAAGAAGACCTGGACACAAATGGGACTTTTGCACTGCGCTTTGCTTAAAAACATCTAACACTCTGCCTTATGTGGAATGATTCTGTGTCACTTGTACTGCCTGGACTGTGTTCACGCCTGTTTGGGACGGAGGATAGTTAACACCACCAGCAGTAAACTGGTGTCATGTTAATAGCAAGATGAACAGAAGGATTCATGAAATGTTTGTATAACTCCTTAAGATAAAATGACGTTTTTGTCCAGTGTCTTTGTCACATGTGCAGCTGTTTGTTTGTTTGTCTCATGGACGTGAAAATACACTTTACATGGTTTCTGTACAATGTGAGCAGTTGGACTCTTAAGTGACACAAATGTTGTGGACAACTTCAGGCGTCACTAATGCGCAAAGCTTTTCTAGCTCATCCCAAGCCATGAAAACGTTATCATGTGGACTCTGAAATCACCCGAGGATGACGCAGTGCATCTCAGCCTGGGCACATGCCGAGTCAGGAATCCATCCTCATGCAGGTCTGAACAGTCATCTGTGGTGCAGTCCAGCAGCATCTGGTGTGGAGCAACCTGAGGCCTGCCCTCTGCCTAACAGTGCCTTATAGCATTTTTATAAACCAGACATACTTCTACACTGAAATCTGTGCAAACACTCATGGTGCTGTAAGTAGACCTGCAGGGAAAAGCACATTTAGTTGGTTTTTATCAGATCTGACAGGTGGCTGACCAGTTTCATGTCCCACTGGTCAGGGTTGAAGTTTATCCTGCCCCCCACCTCTACTTCGATCTGTTTTTCAAAGTAACTGCCTGAAAAATGTCATGAAGCGACGTGGCGGGATTTGCTTCTAAAAGGCCTGCGACACAGTAAGTGCTGGAGTAGTGGTGCTACAGTCACTGTAGCAGGAGACGCATCCCTGGAGACGATTACACTTTGAAATAAGCACGTTTCAGTGACATTGGCAACTACAGCCACTTCAGGTGAGGCTGTGAAGTCAAAGTGTCAGCTGTCTAGATGCTGTAAATACAGTTGGGTCCAGAAATATTTAGACGGACATTTTTCTAATTTGGGTTCTGTACATGATGAATTTTAAATTGTGGAGCTAAAACATTTCTTTGTAACCCAATCGCTTCGTTTTAGGCGCTCAAAAGTAATCGGACAAATTATATGACAGAAAATGGAAATTTCTAATACTTGGTAGAAAACCCTTGAAGTTTTTGATTCATGGACATCAGCAGATGCTGGGTGTCCTCTTTTGTGCTCTGCCAGGCCTTTACTGCAGTTCCAGTTGCTCTTTTGTGGGCCTTTCCTTTCAATAAGTGAAGATCAGGCAATCGACGCCTCAGAATTCTGTCACATTATCAATAAACACCAGTGTGCCAGTGCCACTCACTACCATGCATGCCCAAGCCATCACACTGCCTGAACTGTGTTTAAAGGGGCTGTGGCATGTTCTGGATCATGAGGTTTTCCACACCATCACTCGGGTAGATTGATCTTGTCTTCATCTGCCAAAGGATGTTTTTCCAGAGCTGGAAGTCTTGTCTTTATGGTACACTTGGATATTGTTATTCCTCCTGGAGAGTTTTGTTCACTTGGTTGTTCTCAAGGGGTTTCTCTTGACCATGGAAATGATCATCTACCACTGCTGTCTCCTGTGGATGTTCACCAGCACTCTGACTTTCTCTGTTATGTTGGTTTCAAGGAACACCAATTATGTTCCCTGGGCATGTTTACTCATTTAAAAGTGTCAGAAACACTGGCATTGATTATTTTACTATTTTCTTTTATAATTTTGATTTTTTTTCTGTAGTGATGCAGATGACATGTGACATCACTTCTGTTCTGGGTCAATCTTACCCGCAACATAACAGATGGCTTGTTTCACCTGCATGGAGATCTACTTTGACCTCTTGTTGCCTGTTCACAGCAAAATTTGTCACATGAAAGCACCACACCTCACATCAGCTCCAGCTCTTTTATGACATTGATGACAGAACATATCCTGAAAGAATACACTGAAAGCTGAGACTCAAAAACATGTCTGTTATGTAACTATAATTATGTAACTATATTTGGAGTGTTTCAGTAAAGAGGTTAACCCCCCCCCGTCAGTGTCTAAACATATATAAGGACCTAACTACATAAACCATGGTATTTAAAAAGGAGTTGTACGTTTTGTTTTTGTTCTTCATTAATGGAATTGCACAGAACTGGTCAAGGACGGCCACACAAGTTTGCCAGCAAAGACCCGTCCGACATGTGTTCTTTGTCCCAGGTGAGGTGCACATCCAGACAGAAGAGGATGGAAATATGACTTTAAAATGTATTTTATTCATCCATTTCACAAAATGCATCATCAACCACACTTGGTTCTTTCTAAATATTAAACTGTAGAGTTAATTTTTATTCTGTTTTCAGAACATGGCAAATAAAACTTTTCTAAACTGTTAACTTTGTCATACACGTCTGAAAAATCTGAACTCATTGTTCTAAAAAGCATCTGTGTGAAACTCTGCAAGCCACCACCTCAGAATAAAACAGAAACCAAACGTGGATTTAAATTCTTTTTTAAAAAGCTCAGAGGAATAAAACGGATAAAAGAATTTGTGCAAATTCCACAGGAAGGGTTGATCCACAGCCACTGGACGTTAACATCAGAGCTGATATTTAGACCTGCCTGTGCACAGCTCCACACACGTGAATCAGAACAACACATTCCTGCAACATTTATTTTATGGCAAAAAGATTAGTGTCATCATACACACTGGGCAGAAATGCCGAGGGGTGCGTGGCAATGTTAGGTCACAGTGTTAGTAGCAGAAGGTGCCAAAATCGCCCATGCCGTTGCGCTTGAACTGGTTTCCTTGAAAGGACACAAAGATTTGGTGGTCTTTCAGATCCTCAACAGCTTGGCTGGACATCTCCACGTTCCTGCTTAGCTGACGGCTAAACTGCCACTTCCTGCCTGTAGACGCAGCCGCATCACCGTCTGAGCTGTTCTTAGCAGACCCAGCCAAAAGAGGTAGCGAGGGGCTGCTGCTGGACGTGGTGCTGACAGGTGGTGTTGAAAATGAGGTGGAGATCAAGTGATGGTCTAAAGATCCTCCCTGCTTTTCCTCTTGTGTGTGTGCATCAGGGTGCTCTGCGAGGAAAGGGGCAGCTGATTATAGATTGTGCACTGGGCTATCAAAGCTGCCTCACATTACCACCTTACCCACCTTCACTTCTGCCCACAGGGATGCTGGGCTCTTCCCCACTGTTGGGTTTCACCAGAATCACCCCATAGCCTTCATTGTTGTGGATCACATTGTTCTCCATGGTGATGGAAGGCATTGCATCCATCTGATCAGCAAAGTCCTACACGCACACGCACATGCTGGGCATCACACCTGCAGCCTGTTTGTTGCAATGCAGCAGTGCTAACCACTGCATCACTGCCACTCAAAGCACAAGCACTACTGTGTCCACAATGGGGGTAAAAGGCCTACTAACAATACAGCATCAGTGATAACAGCTTTACAAAGTCAGGACGATGGAGTTGGCAGAAATATGAATATTGGCAAGATGAATCTCATCTCACCTTGATGAGGATCCCATCCTTACAATGATGGATGCCGTTACCAACAAGACTGCAAACGCTGCCGGGGTAAATCTCCACACCTGCCCCCTGCACACAGACAAGGAGCAGCATAACCAGTCAGCTGATCAGAGAACCGTCACACACAACAAGAACACTGGGACATAGGGTTGTTTTGTTTTTTTACACAAAGCTTTACTGATCTTGTGTCAGGTCATTAGCTGGCAGGTCAGCATAGTTTCCAGTGTAACACATACTTCACAGTAGGGCCGCCACAAACAATTATTTTGATAGTCGACTAGTCACCGATTATTTCTGCGATTAGTCGACTAATCAGATCATCATCCATTGGACGTAAAACTACAGCTTATTGCACCAGCAGCATCTGCTCTTATATAACTATCACTAGCTTACAGCTTTAAGTGTTTAAGGTCTGTGCTAACTAAAAATAAAGACAAGATGATAGTTTATTAAATTTTAATGAAATTTGCAGATTGTTTCAGTGAAGTTTAATAAACTCCTTGCTATCTAAAATATAACAGGACACCGGAGTAAATTCTCGAGCATCTCACACTTCTGATAATCAGCTGTCTGCTTGACGTTTATTCAGCTGTGTAAAAACTGTAACTTTAATCTCAGCCAAACCGATTTACTCAGGAACAAATAAAATACTTAAAAAAGCCAAACAATAACATGTTTAAGTTATCTAAGTGACTCATATATCATGTTTAACCTGAGTAGCGAAAGACGGCGGTGGGTTTGAAAACGATCTGCCGGGAGTCCGGTGTTCTCACGGCTCTAGTTAGCCTAGCCCCCGGCTCGCTATCGAGCTAGTGGGTAACAGACGTCTCCGAAAACGTTGGAGCGCTTTTGAAAATATGTGGTGTCCTGATAAACTGAGCAGATATTTGAGGTTTACACAGCTACATTCTCGCCTGAAAATATGTTAAACGTTTATTTTGTGACCCAGAAAGAATAATAAGAGTAATATTAAAACTAACTAGCTGCCGCCATTGTTGGAAACTGAGCTGCGCTATGAATTCTGGGTCACAGCTTCTTCTTCTTCTTCGGGGTTTAACGGCAGCTGGCATCCTTGTACATGCAGTGCTGCCATCTTCTGTTTCAGTCCGTTATTACACTCTTAAATCCTGCTACTTATTCCTGCGTCTTTTGGGATCTTACAAAGCTTCAAACGACGCGTCGACTATTAAATCAGTCGTCGACGATTTTGATAGTCGACGTAATCGTGACTAGTCGACTAATCGTGGCAGCCCTACTTCACAGCATGGAGGAACTGGCCATATCTTTTGTTTCCAGAAAACCATGTGATGGGTGGAGTTCAGGTCTCACCTTGGAGCCATACAGGTCGCACATGTTCATGGTGAGACGGGCAGATGTTCTCACGATGACTCCAGTGGTGTCACACTGTAGCACACAGTTCTCCATATTCAGAGTCCCCTGACGCACACCTGGCAGTCAAACCGGAACGAGAAGAAAGGCATCATTACTACACACCTCAACACAACACCACGCACCTAAGATAAACACAACCTCCAGTCCAACTGACCACACGACCTAAAACAGACCTGGGCATTTTACACGGGCCACATACGGTATGTTGTAAGCACAAATTAACAAGTGTTTATGCTGTGCATGCAATACAACTGTGTTGCTTTTATTTTGAAAACCCTCGACGTATTATCTGCTTCTGTCTGCACAGCGTCAGGTGATGCCAGCTACCCCTGGCCCCCTCGGTCATGTTTGACTTTGACTACTTTTCCCAGGCTGTGGATGAGAGCTGCGGTGTACGTGACACTGCCCAGCTACTCGTCTTTTTACGTGGGATCACTGCAGACTTCAAAATCACGGAGGAGCTGGCAGCCATGCAGTCAATGAAAGGGACAGGGAGTCATTTCTTCACAAAGTTAAATGCATGCTTGGAGAAGCTGGGCGTGAAATGGGACAAAGCGATAGGTGTGAGAACAGATGGTTGACCAAGTCTGACAGCTAAAAATGTTGGACTTCATCAGAGCAGAGCACTGAATCACAGACAGTTTGTTGCACTTTTGGAGGAAAACGTAAGCTACCACACAGCTGTCAGGAGGCTCGGTGTGGGAAAACTGCAAAGCAAGGGCCTTTTTGTGCATGCAACGTACAGAGCAGTGAGGGCTTTCAAGAGAAAGTTGCAGCTTCTCTTAAGCCAAATGTGGGACAATATTCTCACTCACGTGCCAACACTCAAGGAAGCCACACCACCAGCTGATCACCTCCACAGGTACTCATCCATGTTGGAAGCATTGCATGGTGAGTTTTCAAGCCAATTTCAAGACTTCAACACAGCCAAGAGTGAAATGCACACAGTTTCTTCTCCCTAGTCTGACACACTACTGGCAGAG